ACATCCACTCGCTTGCATTGGGCAGCGAGTGGATGTTTAACGTAAAACGGTTTTCTCGCATCGCGCAAGCGACGATATGGATCGAAGTTACGAAAAAAAAATGGCGGACAATTTAAATCATTTTTCTGACGGCGAAGAGTCGGAATTGCTGGCGAATATTGATCCAAATTTATTAGATAAATCGAACGGTCAAAAGTGGTTAGATGACATTGAAATCTCACCATTTATTGAAGGAATAGAAGCAGCAACACGGCAAACGCGCCAATTCCGTTCCGCTTCGCATACTTCTGTCATGCACTCCCCGTCAATAAATATCCACGAAATTCACCCGCACTGAAATAACAATTTGGCGTGTTGGATGATAAATAACTTATTAGAAGTTTTGTAGTTTCGTATCGCTGAGTGTTTTCACTTGTTACTTTTATTTTGACTCACCCTACGGGCGCGTCAAAATACGGCACAACTCGTAAAAATACTCAACGATACTACAGTTATAGTTACTTGTTAAGTAGCTAGCCTGGATTCGAAGGACTCCGCTGTAAAATAAGTTAGTGAGAAATCCACTGGAATAACTTCGACTAGATAAGGTCAGATTCCCAGTAACAGTATTTCGTCAAAAGAGCTTGCTTGGTTTCCTCTCCAAATAAAGTTTCTTCAGCTCCCCGAAAGTGGTCAGCCTAAAAAATCTAAGGCATCTGATTCCGAAAATAAGATGCACTATTCGGAATTTACACTAACTATTTAAATATTCAACAACATATTTTTATTGATTCTACGCAGATATCAACGAATGCCTCAGCAGCCCTTGCTCAAACGGGGCGATATGTGTTGATCAAGTAAATAGTTACGTATGTAATTGTCAAGCTGGATTCGCAGGCATGCATTGTGAAACAGGTATATATGGTCATTAGATCAGACGTCTGTAACCTCAAAATCTGATTCCTTGCCTCTTTCTTTAATGTTATCATTCCCTGATTCTTTATTGTGTCAATCCCATTGCAACAAGTTCTGGAATCTAATTCCAACGTTTTTCTTGGGAAAAGAACGTTGGCGAAGGAGATAAAAATTTGACTTTCAAGAGTTAATCTTCGGAAAGGTTTTTTTGTTTCTCTTATCATCTCTGAAAAAAGATATTCCAGCTATTACTAATTTTATTTTCTCTGACTGTCAATGAAACATTTTTACACAGATATCAACGAATGTTCCAGTAATCCCTGTTTAAATGGAGGAGTGTGCAATGACCAGGTTAATGGGTATGGTTGTGCCTGTTCCGCTAAATACACCGGAGCGCGCTGCGAAACGAGTAAGCACACACATTAGCAGTAATGTCGCTATCTGATTGGCCAAGTGCTATTTTTCCTTGAGAAACGTTCAATGAAGCTGAGAGGAAATAAGACACGTTTTAACTTCTGTACAGCAGCGTCATCCTTATCACCTTCAAGTTAATGATCAAAATTTTTATTATCAACTTTCTTTTAAAGTCGCCAACGACAATAACTTTTTTCTTCGTTTCACATTCTCACTTCTATCAAAAAAATTTTAGAAATAAACCCTGCTGGCTCGCGAGATTTACACTCATAGTTACTAGTCTATTGATTGGTTCTGAAGCTTGGAAAACCAAAATCAGGGAGCTGGGGAGCCGATTTCGATAGATAAGTGTAAAGAATTCAGCAGTCTGAGTCACGCTCCTCCTGCCGTGTTACATTTCATAGATCTGGAAAAAACCTTGTTTATCATTAACCCTTTTTCCTGAGATATAAAGTTTAAATCCAGATCTAACGTCCCCTGCCTAACTAAATTAACTTGTAACTACATCCAGGAGACGGGACCTACGGTTTATTAGTCCTTATCCGAGAAGACTAGAATGTCTTTCCATTTCTTGATATTATAGAAAGGCAGCGCATTCTCCTCAGTTATATTAAGACCTTGAGTGTTTGTCAGGCCGGGGCTCGAACCACCGACCTCGACCTCCCGCACAACAGTCCAGCGCTCTAACCAATTGAGCTAACCGGGAGGCGGTTAGGAAGATAAACCTATTCGAGGAAGATAAACCATTCGAGGAAAAAAAACCGAAATCAAAGTAATATGCATTTTTTCTCGCTTATTTTCTCTCAGAGCGCTTTGTAAATATTTTCATCCGAAGTGAAGGTTGCAATGATCCAGGAGTACCTCCCAATACATGTGGTATTGCTTACATCAGGGTGGACGGCACAGAATATTCACCACAGAACCGCGGACACAACGTTGTTGTTGTGGACGGTGCAACAGGTAGTACTGACTATATGCCCTGCACGGCTCGCATCCTTGTGGCTCTATTCACAGGAATAAAGTGAATGAAAGAGTTAACTGCGGGATAGGCGGTTTCATAGGCGTTTGGTTGGTGAGGTGGCGCTGGATCCGTTCTATGTATTACGTATGGAAAAATAATCAACAATTTTTACATCTTTTCGTCGCGTTAAATAGAAAGATTGTAATGTTTGTTTACCTTGCTATGTGGGACAACCCCGTTTCATCCAGGTAAAGGAAGGCCTTCTCCCCCCACACATCCAGAGTGGTCGTCTCAGTCTAAAAAAAGAAATTCTGCTGCCAAAAACTCTCACAAACCGGCAGGGTACAGAGGCAAAAGNGTTCGAGCCTTTCGCGAACAGATTGCAAGCGTTAAAATAAAACAAACAATATGGATAAATGCCTCCCCCCCCCACTCCCACTGCCACTTCAAGCAAGTGTCCACTTTGTTCTATAAATAAAAGAAATTTGAAAAATTTTACATGATTAGACTAGAAGAAAAACCAAAAAATTATATAATAATAGGTACACTATCATATTTTTTATGTACAGGTGTCTTCCTTGCAGCAAGAGCATTTGATACTCATGCAGATAGTTCGAGCGGAAATAATTTGAGAGACTACCTCAAAAGCCTGAGCGGCAAGTATGTTTCGACTAAATGTACTTAGTTGTACGCTTTTTCCGCAAAAATTATTATATTCTGTTGAAACAAAAGTGAAATGCAATTCGCTGCCCAATGCAAGCGAGTGGATGTTTAACGTAAAACAATAGGATTGTCACAGCTTTGTTTTGAACGGGTCTCAGAACTCGAAACTTCCCCTTTGAGCCTTTCGACTGGCGGACTTACTCAGGAAAGGGTTTGACTCCAAGGCTTAGTACGGAGGATAAAGGCTCCTATTGAGGGAAAAGGGCCGGGCTTTAGTTGTAATAACACATAGAAATGCATAACTTTGCTGAATGTCAAATAATATCCTCGGCCCAATTAAAGGCATCTCGTCGAGGCTTTTTTTATATATTACAGGTAAGGGGGTTTCATTTTGTTACGCCTTTTCCTCTACCCTAATTTTTGACTGATCTCACCACTTGCAATCTTGTCTTTACTCTCGACGCAGTAAGATCGTTTTGGTTGCTATTCAAGATTCAGCCTCCGAGTACATGTCACCTGCAACTGACGCACTCAAGAGACTGGGTGCCACTGATCCTCTACAGGCAAACTACCGAGATTCCTTTGCTTTTGCTGGATACGCGGGAGTGAACAAACCACAGTGGATTACGCAGAAAAGAGCAGACAGATACCAGGGACCTAGTGAGATATTTCCGCAAATACCCTTGTCAGTTGATCAATAAATTGGATCTACTCTTGAGAACAAGGATGGAAACATAACGTGACATAACAATCCCAAACTGTAACGTAATCCACTGAAAAAAACCTTTCGCCATTTTGGAGACCTGCGTTTGGATGTAATTAAGCTTTTAACCTTTCATTTTTCAATATTGCGTCATTTCTGTTGTATAAGGCTAAAGCAAGACAAGCAATTCCATGAAATGCTGTGAATGTTGGGATTTTTCGCGATAAAACATTTCCTTTCTCTCCTCGGTTTTCGGAGTATTAAACCTTGAAACGGTCGCGTGAATTCCAATGGCGATTGCTTCCATATCGCTTATTTTAGGAAATTTTCATTCAAAAGTTAATTTTATGTATTTAGGTCGCCAAATGGTGACCTTCTAAAAACTTCAAACCCGAGCCCTGACACCGTCTTCCTTGCAGCCATTGTATAGGTAGTTTGTAGAGCCCCGTCTGTTATCTAACGCCCCACTGTTCGAGAAGCTTTAAAAATAAATGAGGACATGCGTTTCAATTCATTTGATTCTCAAGACATATTATCGCCAAAGCTACAAAAATCAAAGTAGGTACCTTCTTTAAAATTTAAAGTAAACTCCACAGGAAATAGTTGGGCGTTGTTTTACATTGAGTTATCATCGCTAGTTTTATACAATATAAAGCTAACTTGATCAAGATTTAAATTCACTCTCAAACTTTACCTCACCGAAAAAAAATATATACATATCAATGCTTTGACATAATAAGACATCTCATCTTACTTATCTGATGCTCCGGCTGAATAGCAGTAGTAGTTGTAGCAGTCTCGCAAAAAAAATTACATAACTCATGTTACAAACTAAGTAAGATGTTATATGAAAGTAGTAAAAGGTAAAAAATAAAAATAACAAAATATGTAAAAGATTATAAACTTACAACGTTGCCTGGGTTTAAAAATCAAACTATTTATGCAAGAGTCTTTAAACTGCTCTGTATTGATTAAATGATTAATAATGATTTCGTCTTCATGTTCTTTGGGATAAAAATTCTAAGAAGACAGAAACTTGCCACTTCGTCCACAGGCGGCCCTAGCGTACTGTGCGTGATTTTGGCATAGGGTCTAAAGGTCGTTAACGGGAATACCGGTACCTAACATATTAATAGCGAATTTTTAGCGTAAGCGTGGACCGTTAAAAAAAGAGGGAAATTATGAAAAAATAAAGAAAAATAAAAAAGGGTAATAAAAGCGAGGAATATAACGTGTCTAGTCTCCTTACCTTATTTCCGTAGCCGCTTTGCCGCTTACGGTCCTTTTAAAGCTCTTTTGGCGACTTTCTTTGTAACGCGTGTGCTACTTGTCAACTGTATATAGAAAACACAAGACTGATCCGCTTCCACCGGTCCCGAACACCAACCATCGCCACTTGAAGGCCGATGAATTCCGTTTTAGCATCCATTCTGGCTAAATCGCCTGTAGGCACGATTAATCCGTTTGGCCTTACTACTGGATTCAAATATCGAAGGGCATCTGACCAAATAAATGACTCTCCAGGGGATTGATAGGATGGTTGTTACGTTTTCCCTATTGCCAAACAACACTGTCTGGGGAGTCGTGCGTGTAATTCGACCGGATGCGCTTCGATATCTGAATCCCGTAAAAAAGGCAAACAGATTACGAGTACCTACAAAGCGAATTAGCCAAAATGGTTGGTAAAATGGAGCGTCTCTCGGATCGTTGCAGTGGAATTCGGAAAGCACTCTCCCGGGTGTAAATCTGAGGGAGGTCTGTCGACTTTTGAGGAATTTATCGGCCTTCCACACACGTAACAAAGAAAGTGGCTAAAACAGCGTTGAAACGACGGTTGGCGATAAAGCGGCTACGGAAACAAGGTAAGGAGACTTCACACGTTATATTCCTCGCTTTTATTATCCTTTTAAATTTTTCTTAAGTTGTTTGAATAACTTTTCCTTATTTTTAACGGTCCACGCTTACGCTAAAAATTCGATATCAAAATGTTAGGTATTCCCGTTATGACCTTTAGACCCCAAAATCACGCACAGTACAGTTGCGCCGCCCATGCTTCGTCGAAAATCTTTTTCGTGATTTTCTATTACATGTAGTTCATATGCCATAGCCCAGCTTTTTTCAAAACAATTAGGAAATCTTAATAGCTTGGATGTGAGATACTTTCTTTTGCCAGAAAATAACTCTGAAAAAACCCCCTGTTTCAAGTTTGTCCGGATAGCTTTCAAACTAGCCTCAGTTAGCTGGAAGATGAATGACATACGTTTGAGAATTAAATCCTTCCCTTAAGGACATCAACAGCAGATTTGTTATGGTTTAAAAATAACTCGCCAAAAAAAAAATAATAAATAAAAAAACTGATAAAAGCTACAGGGAGTGAATCAAATGTTTTTGTTTTTCGACTAAAAATTTGTGACTAATAAATTAATTCCATTTCAAAGTCATGATTCCATAAGTATAATATCAAATTCTAACTAACAAAGATACCTCCCTGGGACCTGCCGTCGTCATTGAGTTAAGTCATTAACTTTTGATATGGTCTTTCAAAGAAGAAAAAAATTATTTCTTCTATGTTAATATGTGGAATTAGAAATCTCCTTTATGAATTTTGATTATAAACCCTAACTGTACAAACAAGTGTAGCTTACAATAAGTAATTAAGGACCTTAAGAAAACCACGGTGGCAAAGGCAGCGAGGCCGAGACGAAACAAAAGTTCTAATGGGCAGAACAATAGCTCAGCACGTGTAATTTAAAACTTTGCACATTTCTTAGCCGTCCTCTGCAAAACAGCAACGTGAAATCATCAAAATCCGCCTGGTCCGGGAACCAAAACCTTCACAGCAAAATATTTAAGTTTCCGTCTGCACCAAATCGCCACTAATATTTTTTCACGTTAACATGAAGCGGAGGTGTCGTACAGTAAGAGACGTTGAAAACATCTAGCTATTCGTGAAATTCTGAAAATATATATAAATCAATTTTTTAATCGTCGTCTTCCTAGGCGTTGCCTTCCTGACTGCCTATGGTTCCTAATAAAGAGACGCCTTCCTAAAAATTTACGCGCCTGACTGAAACGTCATCGCGGCATGTATCATAAATAAATTAACTTTTTGGACAGTGCAGGTGACTTAGGTGGGATGTTTAGTTTGACTCAATGTTGGCTTCTTTAATAAACTACTGACGACACATAGTCGTTCGTTACAGCGGCACAGTTGTGATATAAGGCTTGGATTTTTGACAAGCAATCCTTTAAAAAAATCAACTTGCTGTATGTGCTAAAGACATTTGCTCCTTTTCAATTTACTAACTTTTTGATACCGATGGAGAGAGAAAAACTGTATACAGCCCTATTTCTTGCCTCACTCTTACGCGTGCCTCAATCAAACAGCGCGGAGAACTTCAGACGGGATGGGCAATCCGGAGTGAATTACGCTCATTTTGTGAAGAATCCCTTTCAAAGACTAAATACTGCAGTCGTTGATAGTTTAATAGTATCTCGAACTCTGGAATGTACTTACCGCTGTGTCAATCACCAAGAATGTTACTCAGTTAATTTTGCCACAGCTTCATTAAAGTGCGAGCTGCTAAATGCTGACAAGTTTCAAAACTGGGCTGATGTGGTTTATAGTGAAACCTGGGACCACTACAATATTAAGGTGAGTCAGTAAATCTATTTCTGTTTGTGGCAGAAATTTGTTTTTGTTTCAACGTTTTTACGTAACGAAAGTCTTTGTACGCCGACGGATGGAGGCAAACTGATAGCTTTGATATTGTTTTGGTAGTAGCGAGTGCTACGAATGTTGACTACAACACTTCTTTGTAAAACGAACGATTCATGCTTTCGCTCTTAAAATAATGTGTTAATAATACTTATAAAACTTTGACTCTAAATCAATATCATAGCATGATCAAAAAGACGTTTTAAAGAAGTCTCAATTCTTCTTTGGGTATTTATCTAATTAACAATTGGTTCATGCTTTAGCGTGGTGCACTATCGAGTTATGGAGCACGCGGGAAGTTTGGAGAGCACGAAAGAAGCGTAAGAGTTGCCCGAGGCGATNTGCCACAGCTTCATTAAAGTGCGAGCTGCTAAATGCTGACAAGTTTCAAAACTGGGCTGATGTGGTTTATAGTGAAACCTGGGACCACTACAATATTAAGGTGAGTCAGTAAATCTATTTCTGTTTGTGGCAGAAATTTGTTTTTGTTTCAACGTTTTTACGTAACGAAAGTCTTTGTACGCCGACGGATGGAGGCAAACTGATAGCTTTGATATTGTTTTGGTAGTAGCGAGTGCTACGAATGTTGACTACAACACTTCTTTGTAAAACGAACGATTCATGCTTTCGCTCTTAAAATAATGTGTTAATAATACTTATAAAACTTTCACTCTAAATCAATATCATAGCATGATCAAAAAGACGTTTTAAAGAAGTCTCAATTCTTCTTTGGGTATTTATCTAATAATCATTGGTGTTTTTGTATTTTCCACCTTGGCAGAGCCCGTGCATGAGCAATCCTTGCCAAAATGGAACTTTATTTTGTCGGCCTAACTACGATCAAGACGATTATCAATGTGTTGGCAAACCAGGTTATAGCGGAATATTCTATGAAACAGGTCGGTTTCGATTTTTCTCGGTAATTTTAATGCTCAACCGTCTTTTCAAGTCGCCTACGAGGAATGTTTCCTTCGTTTCACACTCGCACTTCCATAAAACATCTTCGAAATAAACCCAATATATATACATTTTCAGATATCAATGAGTGTTCCAGTAATTAACAATTATTGAATGAGGTTGAGCATGATAGCGATAATTATCAAGGCCAAAGTTTGTGTTATCTGCCGAAGCCGAAGGCTGAGTTGGATAGCACAAACTGAGGGCTTGATAATTATCGCTATCCTGCGAAAACCGAGTCCAATAATTGTTTTATTATGCATAATCCAGAGCTGCACTTGTAAAGACAAGAGCGCATAAAACTATTGCCTGTAGGTATGACGTCACTTCTACAAATATAAAATCTATTGTAAGTAGGTACGACGTAAAAGAATGTATCCTTGTTTTTTGTAACGGAGGTGTAGGAGTGAGTTATGCAAATCCAATACCTTTATTTTTTCTGTGAATGTAGAAATTAACTTTGAATTCGAATTTTTTCTTCAGAATCAAATTTTTTCTCTTTTTATTGTTTACTTCTAGTCATCAATGCTTCGTTTGCTAGAGTGCTAGCCCGCTTTCAAGCGAGTCTGGAGGCTCAATCCAGAATAATAGATTCGAGCGATGAATCTCGGAAAGATAGTTATAATTAGATAGGCTTTCTTCCCGGTCCATGAACGTGATCAACTCGCTATTAGACTACTGCCAGTGTACTTCAATTTGCTAGGGAGCTGATTTCGAAAGATGAATGGAAAGAATTCAGCGGTCTGAGTCATGCTCTTCATACAGTTTTAAGTCCGTAGATCTGGCCTCGGTTGTTCAAAGGATGAATAAATTTATCCACTGGATAAGCTTATCCGGAGGATAAAAAGGCTATTCACTGGATAGTTATCCAGCGATGAAAAGTTGTTGCAGAATGCACGGATAGCGAGGCGTATAACTATCCGATGGATAACTCGCTATCCAGGCATTTGCCATGGTTATAATCCAAGCATTTGGTGATCTATTCGCTCGAGCGTGCTTGTGGCGAGACAATATGGCAGAAAATGTCGCTCCTTCCCGGCCAAAGCGTGCTAGAAAGCTGAACTTTACACCTGCCGAATGTGCAGCTATTTTCGAAGAGGTGGAAGACAATATCAACATTATTAAGAGTAGATTTTCCTCGACACTTTCGAACAAAGACAAAACTCGAAAATGGGAGGAAATAACCGACAAAGTCAATGCCCTCGGAGTTTCCAAAAGAACTGTTATGGAGGTAAAAGAAAAGTGGAGAGAAATGCCTCTCAATTCAGCATCTGTATATGTTTGTAACGGATCGAGCTGGCGGCGATAAATTCTTCTCTTTCTTCGATATCGATTTTCGGGCAGGTTACAGCTAAGAAGATGTAACTGTCGAGCAGCCACTTTATTTGTGTTTATCCGGTGGATAAAAATTTATACTACCTACCTAACCATGGATAAGTTTATCCGCTGGATAGCGAGTGGATAGCGCTATTCATGCTTTGAACAACCGATATGACGCCATGGATAAAATTTATCCGCTGGATAGCGATTTATCCAGCGGATAAGAAGTTATCCATCCTTTGAACAATCGGGGCCAGGACGAAACCTTGTTTACTTTTAAACTATTTTCCTAAGATATAAGGTTTAAATCTATCAAGCCTATGAATTTTCTTTCATTAGGGAAGAAATCAAAGTTATACGTCTCTCTCCTTGCGTATTTGTTTTCAGAGCGCTTTGTAAATATTTTCATCCGAAGCGAAGGTTACGATGATCCAGGAAAAACTTCAAAGACAGGCGTTACTTACATCAGGGTGAATGGCACAGAATACTCACCAAAGAGACGTGGAGATAATGTTGTTGTTGTGGATGGTGCAACAGGTAGCAATGACCGTATGCCGCCTGCATATCTCGCATCTTCTGGCTCTATTCACAAGAATTAAAGTGGAGAAAGAGTTAGACTGCGAGACGGGCGGTTTTCTAGGCGTTTGATTAGTTAGGTGGCGATGGATTCGTTCTGCGTTATACATATGGAAAAATTATCACCAATTTTCACATCTATACGTAGCGTTTAATAGGAGGATTGTAATGTATGTTTACCTTGCGATGTGAGACAAGCCCCACCCCCCTCCCCATATCCAAAGCGGTCGATTCTCAAACAAGAAATTCCACGGTACCAACTGCCGCTACAAACTCTAACAGACTGGCAGTGTACACAGGTAAAAGGAAGTGATAAAAATTCCGCGACTTTCTTTGTTTGGATATCAGCTGTTGCATAGCAACTGTCGTGGTAAAGAAACGCAAAAGAGCAGAAGTTGATCTCTTCTCCATGCCGCTAATGAAATATCATATATTGAGGCAGCAACCACAAATTAGAAAAGTGAATATGACAAAATTAGCTATGAATTAAATGTGACTAAGATGTGTTATGTTGCCTTGCGTAATTGGCATTTTGCATGATTCGATGATTTGATACTTTCTTTTACCCACTGCAGGTTCCTTTCTGAAGGCAACATCATTTGATACTCATGGAGATCGCTCGTCTGGTACTCGTATGCTCGACTACCTTAACGGTCTAAGTGGAAAGTATGTCACCTTAAGTATTTTGAGTAACTTTTCCATTATTAAACTTTTGCAAGACAAATTTCGACAGAAACACCACTCCCTTTGAAGGGGTATTTTCAAATGAAGACTTCAGATCTTAGGTGAAGCGGTATGACAGCTTTTAGACGCGATATTCTTTTTGGTATTTCATTCCGGTCGAAAACTTATTTTTGATTGTAATTACAAAATGGCCGGAGCTATTATTTCCAAAAGCAAAAAGGAAAAGCTCATTACGATTCTACAGCGAAGTTATTTTATCAAATAAGGTCAAGAGAGCGCACAAAATGTGAGACCGCTATACAATGTAATGTCCCAGTTAGGCCATTACGCAGATGTTAAAATGATAGAAAACGTAGAGGAAATGGCCGGACGAAACGAAAAAAAGAAGATGACCTTTCTTTCATGTGCCAATCACTTCTTGTTTATCTCTCAATATATATCCAATCAAGATGACACCCAAAAGCCCCCCCCCCCACCACCCCCACAGGGAGTGTTGATAAAGTTTGTATTGTAATTTATGGTATGAGGTTACTTTTTCCGAAGGGTTTTCTGAGTTTTTACGTCATAAGAATTCCCACCGTGCGCTGACCGAAATAATTTAAAGCAGAACTGACGGAATCTATCTGTAGTGTCTTCAGAAAGTTTTTTCCTCGCATTCTGATCAAAGATTTACAAATTCTCACACAGCTTCTTTAAAACTGAATTGTATCAAATAACCTCAACCACAAGTTAGACAGATGGTTACTGTACGGTAGTTAGATACACTTTGCTCTTTTCTAATGAATATCCTAGTCGCCATTGACAATAGATTTCGTGTTCTGGTACAGTAATAGATCACGAATGACTTCAAATGTATAGTACCAAGGAAAAGGTGGCACACGAAACTCGGGAAAACTTGTCATGCGATTTTTCGCTGAGGCAATATAACGTAGGATCTATTTGACGAGTGTTTTCTCTAACGATTGTGGTTTGGTCTGATTTTGACCAATATGTATTTCTCGTCCTTACTGTAGCAAAATCGTTTTGGTCGCCGTTCAAGATCAAGGCTCCCACCACATGTCCTCAGCGATTGCTGCTCTTAAGAGACTGGGCGCCCATGATCCTGTGCAGTTAAAGTACCGAGAATCATTTGCTCTCGCAGGATACGCAGGAGGAACCAAACCATCGTGGATAACACAAAAACAAGCCAGTAAAGGACGAGGCCCTTCTGAATTTACCCTGAAAATTTCTTTACCAACAGGTGAGTTAAGACAGTTCTGATCCTTCGTATCCATTCATGGGTCGGAAAGGTAGAGAGTACATTTCCACGAGATGCCATGTTCATCTTTTATTTTGCTTCTATCTCTCGTCTGGAAAAAAGACAGCGCGGGAGATATTTTCAATTTACATTTAGAAATACTGAAATAAATTGGAAAAAAAAGAAAAAACCATAACTGTTTCGCTGCAAAAAAGAATAATGAAAAGGTGATCACACCTGTGGAAAACGTGCACAAGATTTTAAAGAAACCAGAGCCCCATGGGACCGATGCACAGCCCCGAACGCAATTTTGCGAAATTTCTTTTAGAAACGTTCAGAGAACTGTCGTTAAAATGGTTTTGGACATTTAAGCCATTCCATCCTTCTACATGTAATTGGAACTCGACTTAAAAATTATACCAAAATGAAGAAAGGTATAAAGAGGAGACAGCTGAATTGAAACTTAGACTTACTTTTAGAATTAAGGCGTAATAATTGGCATGCTGCATTTTTGCTGATGACAACGAATGAAATAAGACGACAGACAGAAAATGAAATAAACTTATTACTAATTCGTTCCTTACGCAGTGTAATCGCAGGAAGCTGAATTACGATGCCTACGATTCATCAACAGTTGGACGTCTAAACTTTGATAATAACTATGAGGTAATATAATCATGATCAAGATAAAAAAGGACGCAAGATATGTACGACGCAGTCAGTTCCGGGAGACTTTAATGATTTATCACTTCAATTTCATGAAACCGCAGTACACATGTATGACTTTCATATATTCAAACCCATTGATACATCACTTCGACGGGTTTAATGAGAACCAACATAATGACCAGCTCCCAACTGGCTTGTTTGCTCAGTTGGTTATAGCACTGCACGGGTATCAAAGAGGTCATGAGTTTAAATCCCGTACGGGCCTGGATGTTTTTCAGGCCTTATCTCCACTACTACATAAGTAGGGTTCATTACTGCGAGGATCGCTTTCATACATTGATTGCACACGTATTTAACACGACATCCCGATTCTGAGCGATCCAAGTGATATTAAATAAAATATATTCGGGAAATTATTATAAGGTGAAGATAATTCTCCAAGGGCAACAAATGTAATACCTGGTACTGAACACATTAGACATTACATTAGCGATATCGTCTCTTACTCTTTATATTTTCACTCCTCAAACATTCATAAACAAGTATTTATAACCAGGGCCCGGTTATTCAGAGAACAGATGACGCTATCCGACGGATAAATCGCTATCCGGCGGTTAAGTTTTACCAAAACGTAGAGCACTATCCGTCGAATAGAGATCTATCCAGTAGATATCGTTATCCACCATTCGAACAACCGGGCCAGAACTCTTTGATGGACTGACAGTGCGATTCTGTTTAAGAGAGAAAGGGCTGTTGAAGGCCTAAATGTAACAACTGTCCTAAATGTAATAAAGTCCTAAATTCAATAACATTTGGTCCCAAATGTAATAAAACAAGGCTGTTATAGAAAAGTTTGCGAGCGTTTAAGGGAAACAAATGTTTGATCCTGTGTAAAAGACCGAGCCGTTGATTAACTTTAGAAATTTCATACTCTACATGATCTGACCATGTGAAGTCTGAGGCTAACATAACCCATAAATATATAAACCGTTATTTCCACTATCTAACTCACAAGCAAAAATAGATAGGGACAATGACGAAATATTAAATAGTTTTCTATTGCTTCCGATTAACATGGATTTGGTCTACGTTGTGGAGGTCTGCATTCAACTTGCTCTTCAGCTCGCAAAGTTCGTTATGTTACCTTTCTATAATATCAAGAAATGGTTAGATATTCTAGTCTTCTCGGATAGAGGCGATTAAATGGAGGTCACGTCTCCTGCKGGGTTAGGGGTAGGAGACGTTAATTTCCCACGCACGAGATTACTGTGTGATGTATGTCCTCCCCTGAGGTGGGATGGGAGGGTTAGTGCATTAATTGTAAAGCGCTGTTGATCTGTCATTGTAAATAGCGCTCTATAAGAAATCAATCATTATTATTATTATTATTATTATTATTATTACCCTTTCTAAGATCTTGCTGAGAGTGGGTTTGAGCTGGGCCTTTAATTTGGCTGCAACTTAGTTATTCCTATTTAACTATATATATCTATCTATCTGTTGTAACAATTGGTTTGTACCACGTATGGACCCTGTAAATGGAAAAAAAAAATTATAGAAGGTGTAAATTTTTTCGCTGTATCCAAATTCCAACTTTCAGTTTCCGCGAAGTCGCACTTTGGCACCCAGGGACAATAAGCCGTTCCTCAGGGCATCTGCGACCGCTTCCAATTTTTTGCTTAGTTTTGCAAGCGGACTTACTGAACTGCAATAACTTATATTGATGTATCCGCTTCTCGTCCACGGTCTGGCGCGGATTCTTCCTCTGGCTCTGTAATCTTTACAATGAAGATGTAAATCATTCGGAAGTGAAAACTAAACCTACCAACCATTCTCAGTAGTGGTTGCTCTTCCGCCGATAACATAGAAATTTCAACGTGTGGCAAATCATTTGATTTGCGCTGTTTGGCCTCTTGCGCCGCTAATACTGCAAACTCTGGCCATTCCAACAATAACAACCACGAGCGTTGCTTCATGGTAGACATAAACTCTTAAAAAACTCTTGACAAAAGAAATTAACAACGGTCTAAAAATGAGATTATCCAAGCCGACGTGACTCCCCAGTGCATGTTTTTTTACTTTTCATAGTTTGGCTCATACGAGTAAATTCCGACCTCCCTCTTTTGTACGAAATGAGGGACTGACCTTGGTAGATTTCACTGAGCAATGGCTGTTGTACTATTAGGGGCCAGTTTTACATAAGGATCTTTTTTATGTTCCTTTTTGTGTTAGTTGAAGAGCTCGCTTCCTGTCTTCAAAGCTGACTTCTGAGAGATGTTCTGGGTAACCTTCCTAGATCTCTGGTAAATGTGGGGAGTTGAAGTTTTTTAATTTTCTTCTGAAAAAAATTTGTACAAAAGTTTGTTTTAAAAAATTCCTAAAGTCTTTCCTTTTATGAAGTCAGTTTTAAGATCCGTTGGGTGAGACCAACTGAAATGTTTACATCAAGAGTACACACATCACGAAATGCGTTTTTTTCCGAAACTTTTGCCTTTGTACTTTAGTCCAGAAACATTACTACCTTGTCTGAAAGCCGACGTGACTCCCCAGTTTCCTTGTTCAATAAACTGTCTCCTTGATAAGGCTTCCGATCAGCAGTAGTACTTGGTTCATTTGTAACACCCTAAAAAAACCCACACATGAAAGCATAGGACCAAATCGCTGATACTGGTATCTTAATATTATTGTCTGTTATAACGTTTGGGTAGTGCATCGTGAACTTATCATTACGAGTCTTTCAAAAGGAACCAACATTAAATAAAGGTATGAAGCCATTAAAAAATGCAGTCGTAAAGTGAAAAAGAGAGTTCTAATTGTTTCACCGCCACCATGACCGAATAACTGCAATATCCTCCACAGGATATAATAGTTGACAAAGAAAACCAATTAATGCGTCAGTCACCGCTAAACAGGCCATCAAGATGTTGCTGTTGGTTCGCAGTCGTGGTATTGTTTTCACGGCCTTTATCACCAGCAAGTTAAGCAGAACTGTGAAGGGACAAATGATGCCATTGATGATGATTATGATGATAGAACTAACCTCCAGTGAAATATTCACTGTGCTGATCTTTGTAGAGTTGGTAAAGCGACTAAGCCCGAAAAAGTCTGATACGTGTAGGTTGAAATTGATACCTTAGGAAGATCAAGTCCTCTAATCAATTCATTGGGTCGTGGCTTGTGGCTGTTTTTTCAGTTGCTTTTATTGACACGCTCCACTTTAGTGTTCACATGTGTTTACACTTGGTTTTTTTTCTCGCGCACGAATTACAGCAATTACCAACATGTATTTAAAGTAGCTGAATATTTTATTTTTAACCATGGCCCTGATCCAGATCAACTCAATCTCATAGAAGGACATGTTGAATTTCTGTCTCTTTTCGTTTAATTTGATCCACGCAACTCTCATGTCTATGTAATTTCACTTGACTTTTTCTCGACAGGGCATAAACTATATATTGATTGCTGTTCTTATAATTTGGTTGGAAATTACAAAATGTAAGTTTGGCTAGATTAGCTATAGAAGGAAGATAAAATAAGAAAATTAAATTGAAAGGAATTGGAATGGACTAGTATAGAGTATATTGGCAAATGAGATGAATTGAATGAATCTCCAGGAATACTCAATTCAATACAGTTGTGCATTTTCTTTCTTTTCCTTTTCTACTAGATTTCCCATAACATGATGTGATCCATTTAAAAAATGGTCAATAGCTTATGGATTGACGTCATCTGTAGTAGACGTCATATATCGACTCTTTTAACTCTATTTCGCACGATTATATTGAAGCGACCGCCACTTTCATGTTCAAGTGCTTTCACTTGACTTTTACTCGCGGATGTATCAGTTGTATAATTGATGAAGTTCCATTTGGTCGGAATTAAAAAAAAACTTAAAGGATTGGGTGGATTAGAAGATAGCTAAAATTGGCAAATTAAGACAAAACGAACTGGAATGAGCGAATGTGGAGAAGTTGTCAACTAAAATGAATTGCACGAATCCCCCATCAACTCAATTGTGGAAACTTTTATTTTCGGTTTTCCAATGCCAATCTGTATTTCAATAGCTTGCAGCTATTAAAAAAGCTATAAACAATGGCCAATGGCTTTAGTTGACATCATTAGTAGAGGCACGTTGCATTCACGTGCCTGTTTCCTTGAGAATAACTTCTTCAAAAAAGTTCAAGGATACGAAGCCCTTTGACGAGCAATCACGTCGTCCTTTCGATTATGGAAGATAGAAGTAAATTTTGTCCATATCATCCTTTTTTTCGGCAAAAATATGATTGAGAGGCACTGTACAGGCATCCTGCTCTTACGTGCCAAAGCCTCATTTAAATGTAAAGGCACAACAAAAGAGAGGTGAGACTTTACATGTATTTTGGCCGTCTAGAAATTTTCAATGATCGTAAGTTTCATAAATATTTGGTAAAACTTTACAAGGAAGTCAATACAATTGAGCAAATATCTTCAGCTAGTTTTTCCCTACAAATTTACATCCAGTGGCTCTTCCACACCAGACGGGCTTCATGATTTTGAAATCAACACAAGCAAAGGCAACCGGAAAATATGAATAGACGAAATTATGAAACCGCCAGCTATAGGATAGAAAAAGAGATATACTTTTGCCACTCTTACAGTGATTCGTCCGCAATTATACAAATAGTTCATTTGTTTATTCTATTGGGCATGGTGTGTTCAAAGCCTGATGAAAATAAATTCAAACTCATATATCGACATCGATTCGTTCAAATTACTTCAATCTACTTCATACGATCTGATCAAATGCCACTTTTGTTAAGCACTTTCACTTGACCTGTTCTCGCCGATGTATCAATTGTATCATTGATGAAGTTCTAGTTTGCCTGGAATGAAAATAAAATAGGCTTGAGTCGAATAGAAAGCACATTTAACCAAAAAGAGTTAAGACAAAGCGATTATGTAGAAGATTGTCAACAAAGATGAGTTTTGCGAATCTCCCCACTTGCACCAATTGAATTGTCCAAATGTTTTTTTTGTTATAGTTTTCCCTCACGAATCTTTCGTTCAACAACTCACAGCTATTTAAAATTGTTAAATAATGGCCAAAGGCCTCAACTGACATAATCAGTGAGAGCACGCTACATTTAGAAGAAGAATTGGCGTGTTCGCGTTTGAAAAGTGTCATCTCCCCCGAATGGTCGAATGGAAAAAGGTCCGAGGATACGAATCCCTTCGACAAGCA